ACGCACACTCGGGGCGCCTGGGGCCGCCTGGGGGCGAGCCGAGGGCGCCAGGTGCGCTGGGCCGCCCGGGCCCCGCTCCCGCCGCCTGTGGGCGTGTCCCCAGGTGCGCCAGAGTGAGCCCCGAGGGGGGGTGTACCTGAGGATGTTCTTCCTGTGCCTGGGTGTGTCCCTCAGTGTGCCTGTTGTGCCTCTGTCTCTGGTTGTCCTTGAGGCTATTTGCCTGTCTGTGCTCATTTGCCTCCTTACTCCTGGCTGTATGTGGTTCTGAGTGTGACTGCTGTGGTGGAACTGAGTGTGCCTGTGCCCCTGTATATTTGTGTTTCAGTGTGTGATTGTGTCTCCTATCTTTGTGTCTGTGTGTCTGTATGTTTCTTAGGGTGTGTGTACGGTTGTGTCCGTGTGCGTGCCCATGGCCCTGGGTTTTCCTCTGGAAGAATGCCCCGGGTGCCTGTGACTGTGTATCCCGGTGTGCCTAGATGAGTATTTGTCAGTGTGTGTGTGTGATCTTTGCATGTGACCCTCGGTGTTTATCCGTGTGTTGTGGGGTGTAGCTGTGTATTGAATTGTGTACCTGTATGTCCCCGAGGACCCATCTCTCCATGTATGACACTGTGCGTTCCTGTGAGCTCCCTGAGTATGTGTCCTGGAGTGTGGCTGTGTGTCCAGGGGCTCCTGGCTCTGTGCCCTTCTCAACTTCACTCCCTGCTGCCTGAGTGAGCTGACACCTGCTCCCTGAGCACTGGGCCCCCTCCTCCCACCTGGCAAGGACAAGAAAGGACACGGAGACAGAGGCGGACATAGAGGCAGAGACAGACAGACTTGGAAGGGGACACAGAGAGCCAAGTAGGCTGGAGAGGTGGTGACCCAGAGTCATGTGATCAGCCTCAGAGCCCAAGACCCAGAAGAGAGAAACAGATCCAAGATCCAGACATTAGAGAGAGGGAGACCCAGAGTCACAGAGAGACCCAGAGCACTAAGTCCGGAACTGCTGAAACAGACCAGAGATCAAGGATGTGGCTCCCCAGCCTCCCTCCCTGTCCCTCCCTCCCTTCCTCCCACTCTAGAGTTTCCAGCCCCAGCTGTGCCTCCTCCACACACCCAAAGCAGAATTCTCTTGGCCCTGGGAGTTTGTGCCCTGAGACTGGAACTCAGCCTCCTCTTTGCAGCAGCTGGCTGTGTGTGTGCGCTTGAGTGTGCACGTGCCACCATCTGTGTGCTGTTCTAGGCTGGTGCCTACTTTGCACACAGCCCTCCCCCATCACCCCCTCCTACACACACACACACACACACACACACACACACACACACACACACACACACACTGTTGTCCACACTTTCACTGGCCCAGATCATGCACACCTTTATACACATACCACATAGTCAGCCACACTCATTCAAACCCGGAAACATGCCCTGGGTCTCCCTCTCTCAAACACATCTGCACACAGGGCCAGAAGATCCACCCTGCACACAGCCAACCAGCAAGTCTCACCTTCCTAAGCCCTCCCAGCCAGCCATTCACCCCTTAGCAACCCCTGAGGGGTTCCCAAGCCCTGCCACCCACAGGGAAAGACATAAGACCAAATTTGTCAATACTATCAGACCATACACACAAAGGCAGGGACCCCATTTGTCTTGTTCACTGGTGTATCCCCAGGTGCCTGGGACAGTGCTTGGAATCTTATAGATGCTTAAGAAATATCAGTTGAATTAATGTGTTCACACAGTGTCTCTAACAGTCACTGAGAAGAACCCATGGTAATTTACAACCAGCCGCTCAGTGATAACCACTGATGGATACCACAGTGTTCACACAAGAAAGCATCTTATGCACACCTAGGACAACTCATTAAATATAGGTGTGTGCACACAGGTGGCTGCTTGTACGCACTCAGCACAATAGCTAGGTTAGAGGTTCTCAACTTCGGCCGCACTTTAGAACCACCTGGGGAGCTTTTAAAAATCCCCATGCCCAGGCCCCACCCAGACCAATAAAATCTCTGGATTGAGAACCACTGATCTAGATGAATGGACTCAAAAATGTTGACACAAGGATTGTTACCAGGAATGGGGGTAGAATGGGTTTTCACCTTGAACAGTATAGTGAAGCAGACTCCTGAAGGAGATTGCTTGGGTTTCAACCCTGGTGTCATTATTTACTCACTGAGTGGTCTTTGTAAATTACCTCTCTGCACTTGAGTTTCCTGTCTGTAAAATGGGAATGATAATCATTACAGTAAAGCCTCATGGGATTGTTGTGGGGATGGAATGAGTTTATATATATGGCTTAGAATAGTAACTAGTACATAGTGTTATATAATTATTTCTTACTCTTATTTCTATCATTTAAAAATTTTATTATAGATGAATTGAGGGATGAATTTTATAAGCAAGACTTTTTTGCCTTTAAATTGTTATGAAAAAGTAAGGGCTCAGAGCCAGACTCTGGGCCAACCTACTTCTGCCACCTCCTGTGGGATCTTGGACAGGTCACTTACTCCGTGTCTCTGAACCTGTCTTCCCATCTGTAAATGGGGTGAATATTTTTCTCTACCTCAAGGATTGTCTTGAGGAATAAAAACCTCAGGGAAGCGTTTAATAAATGGCGGCAAAACCCAAATATCTAGGAGCCACATTGCCTTGATGTATTCCGGGATCAGGTGTGGGATTGTGGCTGCGAAGCCCCTTCCCCCAGAAGCCCCAGGGCCCAAGGGCCAAGAGAAGCTTCCATCCCAAAGGCTGGGCCCTTGGGCCGTGGCAGATGTCCCTGAGCCTGCTCTCCAAATACACCTCGGCCCCCCTTAGCCCTCTTCAGCCCAGACTAAGCCACAGACCCTAGACTGAGACCCCTCCCCTTGCTGAGCTCCATTCTCTCCAGGAGCCCTTCCTTAACCTTTCAAGGAGCCCCAGTTCTCACCAAGCCTCCCTCCCATCCTGGAAACCACAAGGCCTTCTCTGGGTTCCATCCCTCTCCAGGTGCCCCTCTCTTTTCAGTGAATCCCCACCCCTCCTACAAAGCCCTCTTCAAGTTACAGAGTCCCCTAGCCCGTGCTGGGCTATAATTTCCTCCCTAAACTCCCATTTCCTTCCTGGGTCACCCATCTCCACCCCCACCCCAATTCCTGGGCACACAAGCCTTCACCGTCCCTCCTCCCCATCTTGCAGAGCTGCAACAATCCCTTCCACGGAATAATCCCCCCACTACCCCTTCCCCACTGCACCTCCATCTCCCAGCCCTCAACCCCCTCACCGGGCCCCACCCTCTACCCAGCCGGCCCCACCTGGACAGCCTTCCCTGATCTCTTCCGCTTCCTCAGCAGCCGCTGAACACTCATTTTCTCCCTGCGGGCGATTCTTGGGGCTGAAAACAAACTTCTCCTGGCCTCTCCCACTGGTGCCTTTGAAGCCACCCACCCCTTCCAACCAACCTCCCCCCTGCCCAGGGGTGACCTTTCCAAAGCCCTCTCCCCTCCCCAAACACACACACAGTGTCTACTCCAAACAGACCTAGCCACGTGTGGCTTCCACCCCCTGCCCTGCTCTTTCCTCCTCTGGGAACTCCCTCATTCTTCTGCCTCGCACCCTGGTCTTGGCCTCCAGGAAACCCTCGCCGGGTCTTACTGCCCCTGCCCCGACTCCCAGCCCCACCCCGGCTGCAGCTTGAGTGAAGTGGATGCCTCCGCCCTCACTGCGCAGGAGGGTAGGAACAACGGCGTCTTCAGCTGAGTCTTGGGGCTGCACAGAGGGGGCTTGGTGGGAGGCTGAACCTTCACATCCAGCACAGAGAATGCAGTTTTAGGGACTGTTACCTGCCCCTGTCTGAACCCTCCAGCGTCCTCTTTCAGACAGGGGTGCCCAGAAGGTGGGGGTCTGTCTCCTGCCTCAGGTGGAGGGTTCCTCTGACCCTCCCAAGGCCTGGGCCTTACCGGTAGGGTCAGGGAGGGCGGCAGGTGGTGCGGAGCTGTCCCTTGGGGTCTCCTTGAGCTTCAGCAGGGAGGGACATAGAGCAGAGCTTTAACGTAAACTGGGTCTATAGGAAAAGCGGCTTGCTAGGGACCAGGCAGCCCAAAGTGGGCTTATTTGGTCAAGGGCAGCCAAGAGCTCCCCAAGGTCAGGGGGTGTGATACAGTTCGGCCCTGCCAGGTCCACCAGAAATAGGCACAGGATTAGGAGTTTTCTTCTTTCAAAGTTTACAAAAGCTGGGAGGAAATACAGACCCGGCATTTGGGGTTCAGAGTGGAAAGAAAGGAGAAGGCCAATGGGTTTGGCCTAGTCAAACCCTGGAGTTTGCATAGGCAGAGGCAGGTGTGTTGGGATAAAAAAGAGGGGGGCCTGGAGACAAAGGAGACCCAGGCCCTGGGGTAGATGGGAGACACACAAACAGGGGATACTCCAGTCTCTGTGGGAAAGGGGGGTGTCCCACAAGGGTTCTTGCGCTCAGGATTGATGGAGTGTCTGAAAGACAGGTATCCTGAACCAGAGTACACGGTGGGGTCCAAAGGCTGAGGGGACACAGGACAAATGAAGGGGCTGGAGTCAGAGACCTGGGACTGAGGATGGAGTAAGGGGATCTAGAAGCAGGGGAGACCCAAGACCGGATTTATAATGGGAGTTCCTCAGGGAGAGGAAACCAAGGACTTGGGGGAGAACAGGGGTCTCAGAATCATGGGAGACCTAGGACTTAGGGCAAAAGGAAGGTCTAAAAGGCAGACTCCTTGGACCCGGGACAGAATGCATGGACCAGGGGCCAGGAAACCCCAGGGGGCAGTCTGGGGAGCCCAGAGGCAGGGGAGACCCAGGGCCTAGGGTGGAAAGGGAGGGGCCCAGATGCAAAGGTGACTCAGATCTCAGGCAGAAGGGAGAGCTCTGAGGGAGGGAACACATGAAGGTATTTCAACTCCTCTGGGGACCCAGTGGCTGGTGATGACCCCCAGCTGTCACACCCCTTCCACTCTGTCCACCCTCACTCACCCCCTTTCACAAGACACGAGGTTGTTTTTTTGTTTTTGTTTTTTTTTGCTTTTTTTCATTTCTTTTTAATACAAACTTGGATCTTTGGGTGTGTCCTGCCAACAGAAAACAACAACAACAACAGAAGAGAAAACCCAAAAGAGTGAAAAATAAGAAAAAAAAAACAAAAAAACAAAAAAAAAAGCTCCCGCAAGAGGTTCCTCTCCCTCCCCCCCACCATGCGAATTTGCACACCACGGGACCACAGCAGGTTTACAGAATGCAATATACAATCCACGATTTATAATAAAACAGTATATACAATAAATAGGATATTGTTCATTTTTGTCAAACGACCTGTAGATAAATTTCTCAGTGCATACTTGCAGGGGCTCTGGACACCTTGAGGCCCCGCTCGCAACCTCTTGCACACGCTCGCGTTCTCTCTCTCTCTCTCTTTTTTTTGTCTTTTTCTAAAACTGTGTTTTGTTTTTAAGTTTTGTACATTTTTAAAAAGTATTTACAATTGCTGGTTTTGTGCAGAAAGGGCTCACCTTCGGCTTCTGCGTGGAGGAGATGGGCAGGGAGGGGTGGGGGGGGGGCGATGGGGCTGCAGGGGGTGCAGGGGAGGTGGGGCGGGAGGCAGAGGGGCAGGTGCCTGCCGGAGGACCATGTGGACGCTGGGAGGGGTCTTGGCGTTGGTTTTCTGAAAGCTGCAGAGAAACACAAGAGAAGAGGCAGAAGTCAGCGGCAGGGACAGACCCTGAGCTCTGGGAAGAGGGAGGTTAAAAGCAGGACCTCCACCCGGTTCCTACCAGGATTCTGAGAGAAGGGAACTGCATTGTTCCTTCTCCCAGAAAATTCCAAGTGGCCCCATCCATGAGCCTCCGGACTGCTTTCTGGCCTGCTCTGAGCTCACTTTCCCCATCTGTAAAATAGGTGTGTGTCCAAGGCCCACACCACTGAGAGGTAAAGGATGTACTGGATGAGGAGCTGGGATTCCAGGCAGTGCAATCTGTTCAGAACTTGAGCTCCTGAGTCAGACACAGCTGAGTTCAAACGCTAGCACCACCATTTAATAGCTCTATGACCTTGGGCAAGTCAGTGAATCTTTGTCAGCCTCAGTTTACTCATCTGTAAAAAGGGGATAACAGAACTATCCCGTAAATTCGTTGGGAAGGTTCAGTGGTTTGAGGCAGATTAAGCCTGGTCCATAAATGTGTCATAAATGATCCTAATTAGTACTAGTCATTATCTTCACGGGGCCTGGGCCAGCTAGGCTCCCCAAGCCTCGGCTTCCTCATGTACCAGTTCGTTTAGTAATTCCTCCTACCTAGGCTGTTCTGAGGAATGACATAATGCGAAGACAGGGCCTTAGCACAGCACAGGTGTGAACCACTGCTTTAATTTCTTCCAAATCCAACCTTCTCCCCATTCCCTATCAATGTCATTCTGTTCCTTAGAGGGGTGAGGTGATGAGGAAGTCTGTCTGAATAAAGAAATTGCCCAACACAATACCATCTGTTTGGCTGCACCCCGCATTCCTGAAGCTCAGAAAATCTCGACTCCCCAGTCCCTACAATCACTAGACAATAGAGATCTCAAGTACCCCCTTGCCCTAGACAGTCGGTCCTAATTATGTTTGCAGGGCTCTGGGGACCTGACTCCCTATCCAGAGCCCTAGCTTTGCTGGGGTGAGTGGGAAGATGCCCAGTGGGAAAGGGGTGTGGGCTCAGTTATTCTCAAGACCTCCAGTCGTTAGCCTGGCTCTTTCAGAGCTCTGTCCTCTTCTCAGAGCCCTGAAATTCATGTCTCCTACATTGGGTGAGTGACCAACCCACCAAAATTAAGGGGCAGGCGTGGGGGTCCTAAAACCACCTTCTGAGACTCCTCAGCAAGCCATCCACCCTCCCCCACCCCTGCAGGAACCAGGCGGCCACAGAAAGCCTTCCCTCTCTTGTCCTCTTTCTTGGCTTCCCTTTCCAACGGGGCCACATTTAAATTCTGCTCAGCCTTGGCTGCTGTCTGCTGGGCAGTCAGCCCCCGGGAAGACTTTTGTCCCGAGGCTGGACTTGCCAGGACTCCCCTCAGGGAGCCAGGTGGGCTCCTGGGAGGTGGGACAGCACCCCATCCTGGTGCCTCAGCCCAGGCGGCATGCAGAGGCGTGAGGGGGAGGGTAGGAGCTGTATCTCTGTTAAGCTCTCGGGTCTCCTGCTGGTGAGGGGAGGATGGAATATTAGCCACAGGGTTAAGAGGTATGCTTGTTAGGGCGACAGCTGTATTACAACTGGGGTGATGGGGAGAAAAGCTGTATCGCAACTGGGGTGATCGGGGCAGGGGATACAGCTGGGGTGGGTGTCAGTTCTCCAGTTAGGGTGATAAGCAGGGTGGGGGGACAGGTTCAGCTGGAGGGCTGGGGGCATCTATCTGTAGGACAGCTTTACTGCAGTTGAAGAACAGCTGTCAAGCTAAGGAACCCCTGTTGGGGTGACAGATATGGTGTATTGGGGTGACGAGGGGGAGATTTAGGACGGGCAGCTCCAAACTACTTAGCAAGCGAACTGTGCTGAACCCCAGCCTTCCCTGCTCCCCTTAAGGGCCCCGGGGCAGGCTGGGAGCCTCTGCACAAATCCCTGTCACCCCCGCCCCCTCCAGCCCTTAGCCACTGCCAGTGACCCTCTCCAAGCCAGGTCTCCATGGTGATCTCAGCCCAGCAGGCAGCTCCTGCCAGAACCATTCCCGTGGTGCCCGCGGCCAGGCAGCAGGGAGGCTTTCTCACCCTCTGCTAAGCCACCGCTGTCTCACCTTCCTCCTCACACCGCCCTCCCCAGCTTTCATGACTTGGCCAGAATCTGGGGGGATGGTGGGGGGTGGGGGATGGGGAAAGAATCAAAACCAGAGGTTCCTGAGCCAGGGAGAAAGCAGAATGCTATGGCCATGCAGAACCCTGACTTCACCAGGTTCAACTCGCCACGGAACAGAAGCAGTGCTGCTGGGCCAGGTGGCCCAGTGCTGGGCACTGGAGACAAAGCAGACAGCAAGACGGATCTGGTCTCTGCCCTTGAGGGGCTCACAGAGCACAGAGGGAAGCAAAGCGGACCCCAAACCAGGCGATCACACGCAGGGAGATGGGGGTGTGTCAAGAGGAGCCCTGGGGGACTCAGGGAGCACAGCGGGGGCACCTCACCCAGCTTTGGTGAGAGGGCCTGTGGCTCTTCAACACACCGCTGAGCACAGCGCCCAGCACATGCTGGGGTCAACAAGGTGCGCCGACTGAACGAAAGAGCCGTGACCGGTCCGAGTCTGATCGGCGAGTCAAGGTCCAGGTCAGGTGTTGCACATCTCCGGACGCCTCCTGAGACCGCCCTGTTACCATAGCTACTGGGGCACTTATCATTCCCTTCCGTGCTCCTCCTGGGCAGAGACCTGCGTGGGGTACCTCCGTATCCCCGATGCCAGCAGTGGCTGGCGCCCCAGGACACCAGCCATTGTTCACGAGACTTAACCTTTTAGTGCCTCCATAACGAAGGACTGCACGTCCCAGAGTCTCATGCTCCAGTAGTTTTACCATCTGTGAGGCCAGGGCTTTAGGTGGTCTCTGCCTGTCAGTGGGCGCTGGCACTGGGGGTGCCAAGGGAGAGCTGAGCAGGGATTTAAAGTGCTACAGATCACATATAAGTCAGGTTGTCCAAAGAGAGCTGCTCTCCCTGGCAAAAGGAGCATTCATTCAAGCAACCAGCAGACATGTATTCACAGCCGCTAACTGCCAGGCCATGCGCTAAGGTCTAACCCTACCTTCTAGTCTCTACCCTCCAGAAAGGGGTCTCAACATCAAACAAGGCAGTGGAGCAGAAGGCAAAGAGTGCATGAGGATTTGAGAGACGGATATGCTGTGTGACCTAGGGCAAGTCCTTTCCCTCTCTGGGCTTCAGTTGCTATGTAAAATAAGGGGGTTGAACAGGGAATGGCAGAGATCTTCAGGCACTGAGATAGAGCACCAAAGACAAGGTGTCAGAGACAAATCACAGCTGTCCAGGGAGGCTGATCCAGCCTTTCTGATGTCTTCAGGCAAAGTCAGGCTTTTGAGTCCCTTAAATGTGGAGAGGATACTGCTTCCCTGAGGCCCAGACCACACCTGACAGATGGAGATACCCTCTGGACCCAGAGTTCTCTGAAGGATGAAGCTTCCAATTGGGGCTGGGTAGGCTGTGGCATGTGGGTGGGTGGGTGGCTCTCCTCCTCACTCCAGGGAAGTTTTTCAAAATCTGTCCACCAGTGACTAGAGGCATTCCTTAAACTCTAGCTCTGCCAGTCATTCCCTCCTTAGAGATCTTCTCCTACCTCCCCCACTGCGGGGCATAGAGAGGGATGCTAGTGGGACCAAATGGGGTTTACTTCCATGGTTGCCCACCAAGCTTGTGTGACCTTGTGCGTATCTCTCACCTCTCAGAGCCTCACGCTCCTTACCTGTCCTGGGAGGAGGCTATACACGCCCCCACCCCGAACACCCACACTCTCCACCCTCCTGATCGGAGATGCCTATATAAGGACAGGCATCTGTCCCACATCTGGGTATGTGTTGGGCATGCAACTGAGTGGAGGCTGAGGAAGTAGCAAGAACATGGAACTGGGTGATCCCCGAGCGACCTTCCTGACTCTACCTTTCTGGGCTTCCCTGCCTGGGTGGCTCTGTGTCTTTGGGCGAGTCCCTCTTCCTCTCTGTAAACTGGAAGGCGCTGAATTTACAGAACTCCAAAAGCCCAGTTAGCCTGAGAGTTGGAACTGGTTTATTTATACACCCCTCCCCTGCCTCATCCTTAGGAGCGCATCTGATAACAGTACGGTTGAGAGAAACCAGCTCATGCCCCGTTACCCAATGCCTAACCTTTTCTCTCACAATTCTCCCTAGTCTACGTGCCCTTCTTTGACTCCTGGAAAAAAAAAAAAAATCCTGACCCTTGAAGTGTCCCCGGCCTGATGAAACACTGGGGAGACAGGGACAGTGCACAGAGATGAGTAACCAGCCTAACGGAGCTGATGGCATGGTGAGGAAAACATTCCCGGGAAGGGCTGTCATGGATGCATAAAGGGCTGGAGATTAATTGCGCCTGGGAAGGATCCTGGAACGCTTCTTGGAGGAGGCAGTGTCTGAGTGAAAGATAGGAAATGACAGGTGGGAGATGGATGATGACTAGGAAAGGGCGGCCCAGGCCAGGGAACAGCTAAAGCAAAGACACAGGGCACACTGGGGAAAGGGCCTGGAAAGCTCCCTCCCGATCCCACAGTATAGAGCTGGAAAGGGAGGCTGTGTGAGCAGGAGGTCAGGGCTGAAGAAGCAGCCTTGAATACCCGGAATACCAGGTTAGGAAGTTGGGCCTTTATTTTGGAGGCAAGGAGGCTGGCGAGGGGAGGACGCAATCAAAAGGTGTTAAGCAATGAAGTCACCAGAGCAGACATGTTTTAGTCAATTCATCCAGTAAATGTTCTGGGGGGGGGAGGGGGAGGTTGCTCCAGACACCATGCATCCCAAAATGCTGAGGGACATGCAGCAGCCACAGTGGGGGCTATGGGCTCAGGAAGCGGGGGCAGGTGTTGGGGCAGAGACCTGGCACGCACTGGCTGTGCTGACCCACGTGGCTGAGCTAGGGCTATAGCTGCCGAGGCCTCAAATTTGTTCAAGACCCATTTTCTGCCCCCCCCGCACCCCCCCCCC